ATCAAATATGAATGTGAGAATTCCAAAATAAAAGGGACAAGCATTAAAAATAAGAAATAATTGGTCCTAAAACAAAAAAATGGAAAGGTTCAGCTAAAGCAACAATACCTGAGATACCATTAATAAGCCGCTCAATATTCTCCGAACAACGAAAAAGAGATACTGAGTTCTTTCTGATCAATCCAAAACTACCCCTGTAGGAATCCAAAAGCAAGCCACATAGTGCATTGCTCTTGCACCAATTTTGGAAGTAGGGAGAACAGAATTTTTTCCAACAGCACAATATTGACGTTGAATTATCACTAACACCCCCTAAAACAATAGACAACATACATTGGTTATCTGTTAGCTAGCAACCCCAGGTCATTCCTATCCCCTCCACGGTGTCATATGAGTGTGTGAGAGAGAAACAATAAAAACTCCAACGCAAACCTCATGTTCAATCAGGGAAAGAATTTCCTTCTTCAACATATCGGCGGTTAGAGAATGGAAATCTGAATCACTCCAGTGCCTGTTATAATCCAGCAAGGTTGAGCGCAAAGCAATATTATGATGAACCCCAGGAAGAAGCAGCCTGCGTAAGAAAATCGAGGATACAACCGGTACAATATGATCCTGCAGAATTTTCATCAAGCGAAACATCATAAGCAGCTTATTTAATATATAATAGCTTCTAGACTAGCTATAATGAACATCTTACATAAATTTTCATTCTTGTTCAGTTTATAAATATTTTCTACTAACGTTTATACTCAACCCATACACACAGTTAACGCTTGATTACCAACATTTTCTCAGCATTCAAAGTTACACAAACATATTTTCTGAGCAGCCAAACAGAGTCAAAAGTCATACAAAACCTGCTGGGGCCAAATATCTTTCTATTTTTTTTTTAAACAAATCACAAAACCAAGAGCAGAAAAGTATGAGAAGAAAATAGAAAGTAGGTCCAACAAGTTTGGAAATTTCTAAACCTCACCATCAATAGCTAAAACTTCCAAACCAACAACAAACGCATGCGACAACCCGCAAACCCGCCATCGCTCTAAAACCACTTACGGAAAAATTTTAATCCGATAACTCATCCGAAACCACTACTCAGCTCCAAATATAAAAAATTAAAATTAACAGGAAAGAAGACGACTACAAAACAATCGGAACCAAACGAAGTCGGAAATGGAAACCAGAGAGTCATCTATCAGACTACCGGAGCTCCAAAAACGCCAAAAAGCAGTGAATTTTTTAACGATCGAGAATCCGAGAAGGAAAATAAAATGAGGAAGCTTTAAGAGAAACATATCAATAACCATAGATTGGAGCTAGAACTCTTTATTATACTAAAAATAGAGAAACCAGATCATCTTTGCCTAAAACAATAGAGAAAACATCAACCCACTCACACACAGATCAGAGACAACGGCGTTTGGAACCCTGAAAATTTAAATAGTTACCTGAAAATTTAAACAGATCAGAGACAAAGTCGCAGCTGGTGATGCTTTGTGGATGGCGGCTTGTGGCTGGCGCAGATGGTTTACGGCGGGTGAGCTGGGTATATGCCTGGTTTACGGCGGCTTGTGAAGGTTTAGGGTAGGTGAGATGGGAGAGAGAGAGAGAAAGAAAGACTGTGAGAGAGAGAGATCGAGAAGAAGGAGATCGAGAGGGAAGAGATCGAGAGAGAGGAGATCGAGAGGGATGAGATCGAGAGAGATCGGGAGAGCGGAGAGTTCGAGGGAGGCGGAGAGATCGAGCGGAGAGATCGAATTAGGTCTGAATCCTGATAATAAAAGGGTGAGTGACAGTGAGGGTCGAATTCTAATAATAAAAGAGACCGTAATCACAGTAGACCAACGGTCCGGGCCGGGGGCCCGTTTTCTCCAATCTTTAGAACCGGCCCGCCCCGTTATTTATCTGGAACCGGCCCGCCCCACCCCATTTTGTATTTGTAATTCTTAGACCCGCCCCGTACCCGTCCCGAACCGCAAAGACCCGCCCGACCCGCGGGTCCAGGACCCGTTTGCCCAACCCTAATTGACACTTTGTCAAGAAAAATCTTGAAAGGAATATTGTGTCTATACCGTTTGTGATTTCAGGAGAGCAATTGGTTGATGTTCTTACTCATGCAGTATCTAGTAAGGTTTTCCAACTTGAAGTTCGTACTCAGAACACGGGACGGAACCCCACATGTTATTATACAATTGGCTGAAAACTTTTTTTTCAAGTGTCCCTCCAATTGTATAATAATAAGATATGGTGTTCTTCCGTGTTTTAAGCACACTGAAAACTTACTCATCTATTTAGCGTGTTTCTTCAATTCTATGTATCATTCAATGCTATGAGTGTTAGATTTGGTTTTCATAACTATTTAGATATAAGAAATACTAAGGAGACTCTCTCAAAGTATGACTATCTATGGACTCTTTGCCATCTCACAATTTAACGCCAACATTATAAAACATTATACAAAAAAATGAGTTGATAGAGAGTTCATGAAGAGTCACACTTTTGAGAGAATCTCCTTAGGATTTCTCTTTAGATTTTTTATTTTTAATCTCAATAATTTATTTCTTGTATAATTCAATGCTACATAATTTTGAAAAGATTTTCAAATATATATTTTTTTAAAATACTTTAGCAAAGTAGTTAAAAATGGGTATTTTTGGTACTTGGATGTTTAACTATTTTCGCCCTATCCGTTAATGTGCATGTTCTTACGCCTGTAAAAGTCTTAAAGACCTTTTTTTATTCATGCCCACGCCTAGCTTATAAATTTTTATTGCATTTATCGTGACGTACTGAAGCTCATGCAAGCTTCTATGCTAATCAGAATTATGCCATGTGTAAGAATTTTAAATAATAGATAATGTTAGAGAGGCCAAATTTTTAAATTGAATTGACAAATCAAATTATGTGTCTTCAATAAGAAATACGCACGACACTTAATTAATAATCCAATCATCTGCAACCATATTATTTGGTTTAAAAAATTTGTTTTCCCTAACATTACCCTTAAATAATTTGTACTAGTATATGCCCACACACAACGTGTGAAATTTTTCACTTTGGTTAAAATTGAAGGAAAGAGAGAGAGTGAGAAAGAACGTGGGAGTGAGGAGAGGAGAGGAGAGAAGGAGAGGTTTTTTTTTTTTTTTTTTTTTTTTTTTTTTTTTTTTTAAATTAAAGATGATAAACTTACATGTAGGTGAGATTTAAAAAAAAAATTTGTTTTGTGAAATTACGTTACTTTCCTTAACTTTTTGTTGTAATAAAAGACAAATATATCTTTTCACAATCTTTTAGTTTGACAAAGAGGGTTTTAGTAGACTTTTTCTTAGGTAACAAATTTTAAAGGATTTTAGTAAAGTTACAAATATGGATGTCTGTTATGGATTTCAATGGATTTGTATAGACTTCTTTTATGGACTTGTTAGGATTTATAGTCAGTACTAGAAATTGTGCCCGCGCGTTGCTGCGGAATTGAAAATTGTATGAAAAATTACGCAATTGTATTCTCTTCATAAAAAAAATATAACAGAGTTTTAAATAATTAGATGATGGAAATTGGATACAAAAATATTAAAGTGGCAAAGTCAATGTAAGTGGTGAGAAAAGCTATACTAATTCTGCCCCCGATCTTTATTGAACATAGGCTTGAACAAAGAAGCAATCATTTCTACTTTTGGTGATTGAATACAAACTCCAACATAAAATACATGACATGATAAAGCAACAAACTTTATAGGTGACATCGTATGAAAATTGCTAGTCCAGACGCAATAGTGTAATATAACAGAATATAATAGGATTTAAAAAGTTCAATTTCCATATCAACTAAGTTGCTGAAACAAAATTTAAAATCAATTCAGTTACAATTCATCTAGTAGGATAATCATCAATTAAGTTGCATTTCAACAAAAATTAGACTGCAACCTGTAAGTGAAGAAAAAGAAGAATCTTACTACTATAAGGCCAGTTTCTTGTCGAGCTCATACTTAACCTTGATGCGTTTGCCAATTTCAACAAACTGATATAGAAATAACCATACTCACAAACCGGTCAACAATCAAGAAAATGGGAGTGTGTGTGAGAAAGAATCCAACCTTAATTGTGCGCATGAAATTCAGCAACTTCCTATAATACCTCTGTAATCGTATCACCCATGAAACTACATAAACAAAACCAACAAATGTGGAAATCTAAAGGCATCATAAACATCACAGATTAAACACAACTTATGATTAATCTTCAAGATGTAAAATTTAAAATTATTACTCACATCAGCATTCGACCAACAAATAGGTACAATTATCTAGATACTGATGAATTAAAGCTTGCAGCAACAATTTCAAGACCCATTGACATCACACAAGCGGATAAAATGTATTAGTTAGTTCCCAAGCTAGTAAGATAATGAATTTCATGAACAAAAAAAGAGAGATGCAACTCCAATTTAACATGTCAAAAGCATTGCAACTGTAGGTTTGGAAATTATAAAAGTCCATCCAATCAATAGACAGAAAACAATAGTGGTGAGTAGGTGAATATGCAACCAAGAATCTAAAATATACTTGACAAATTTGCGATTCCATTGTAGCCTAAATGATAACAAATAATTTGCCCATTATAGACACAGTACAATTTATATACAGACTCATCATGAATGAAACAAATTTAAACACCAAAACAGAAATTTATTCCTCCAGAGTAGAGGGGGGAAATAATTTTTTACTTGAAAAGTTGGAAGTAGCACTACTGCATAAATTACAAATGCAAATTGAGGGAATACCTATCAAATAAAGTTGACTACATTCTGAGCAATGCTAGAGAATATTCTTAATCTTTTCAAGTGCTACATGCAGCGAACATAAAGTTTGGATACCAGACTGGCTCCTAGTTGTTTCCAAAGAAGGAAAAATTGACATTATTTTGCAATAAATTGCAGAGAGTACCTTACACAGAAAACAAAAACAATCAACCAACGATGTACGAAGATAAAACTATAAGACAAAATAAAAGGCTGATATTCAGATGACCCATGGTGATGGTGATCCAAAAAAATATATATATATATGGACAACAACTTCAAAATTGAGTTTTAGAGAGAGTGAGAGGTGAAGTCACCTTGTAACCAGAGACCAAATCCATTTTTTTTCTCATTACCCACGTTGCAATTCAACTTGAGAAATCCCGAAACCAAACACCCAAACACAATGCAATCAAATATCAGCACGAAATATTAATTGGAAGCTAAAAAGATTGAAACTTGCCTACTGTGATGTATACAGTTTGGGCATTTGCTTGTGAGACTGTTGTGACATGCTGATCTCAGCTCCTTTAAAGTAACATCAGGCGTTGTCTGCCAAGTAGGTAAAATCCATAAGATATCTTATAATCCATGAGATAAATTATTGCGTCAAAGTTATACGCTAAAAGAAAATTCATACTTCCATATGAACCCAAAGGACAATTTTTGCATATACCTTGGTAGGTTCATTCTCTAGATGAGTTTCTCTACTCATCATCCATGTCATGTGAAAACCTCATGCTAACTTCTGCAGAAAGCCACCAAAAAAATGAAAAATAAAATTAGACAAAAAGGTTGGAGAGAATATGAAATAACTAATTAGAGAGAGCAGAACCATAGTAACCAATCAGGAAAGATGCTTTTAAATTCAAGAAAAAACATTTAAGAGAAAGTGAAAATAAAAACCATCAATTTTCAATTATTTTTCAATCTTACAGTTGGGATTACACATAAAATATAACTAAAATCCCCAACTTTCTCAGAAAACTACAACTATTTTTACAAATCTCCATCACCCAACATTGAAAAATGAAAATTAAGAAACAACACAAAAGTAGGCAAACAACAGATAAAAGAACAAAACACGTGAGAACCGAAACGTTAAAAACAACACATACCCATTCAAAAACAAAAAATCCCAGAAAATCTGTATATTAGCACTCCCTGCAATACCCCAAAATCAGAAAATTAGAAAAATTTAGTTTGATAACATTGTACCTTAAGAAACCTCTAAATTTCTAGTCAAAGGAAAATTACTACCACATCTGCATAAAAAATAATCAGAAGATTAAAACTCAAATTCATAAAGCATTTGTTCAAAGTATTTATTAGAGAAACTTACATATGGATGAAGGTGTCGATCTCTTGTATCATGTAGAGCATCATTGCCTGGACTTCGCGAATATAATAGGTTCTCAGCATTCAAATGATTTTCATACACTTCGTAAAAAACCCGACCATATAACTGCACAAAAAAATTAAAAAAAAATTATAATGATAAATTCGAATCTATAGTACAATAAAGAACAAAGAAAAAGTCACTTATTATAAATCAGCTACTTTGCTTCATCATCGTCTGCACAATCTTCTGCCAATTCATACCTAAATATCCATAAGATCTAACAAATAAATCGCCTGAAAAAACATATGAAATCCAAACTCCAGCAGTTTTGAAGTAACCTAAAATAAAAATTATTCTTATAGATACAAAGAAACTAAACAAAATTTATACCTTTCTCTTTTTTGGGATTTGAAATTCTCGAGAGCCCCATCCTCATTTTCTTTAGTCCAGACAACAGATTGAGAAGCATCCTTACAGAATACACACATGCATGAGTCAAAGTCGCTTGATTTGACATTCGGCCATGAAAACGAAGAAAGGGAGAGGTGGCCGTGCTTTACCTTTATCGGCGATGGGATTTGCGGAGTCCTCCGTGAAGGCAGAGTCATCGATGATGAGTGCAGAGCCGATCTGAGGAAGGCACTGCGAGATGGTGATGGATCTGGATCCAGTTTGGGGGTTGAACTTTTGGAGATCGATTTAATTTCTTGTTTCAAAAGTGTTAATCGCAAAAGACACAATAGAGACGTTTGCGGGAGGTGTGTTAGGGAAGCAGAGGGCTAGAGTTTTTTTAGAAAGAAGTAGACGTCTGAGAGCTTGGCTTCGAAATGGAACGAAGAGTCCAGAAGGACCAGAATTTCTAGAACCACATCAACGCGTCGAGATCCCATAGAAGCAGGTTTCTTTTCCACGATGACCAACACGTGTATACAAAGGGTACAATTGTAAATTCACTGTACAAAAATGGAAAAAATAGCTGTGAATGGGCAGCAGCTCAAGGGCAGTTCCGCCAAAACACTGCTCGTGAACAGTGCTTTTCCACCGGGTTTTAGTATATAGATAATGTTTGAGTGTGCATCAACAATAGAACTGTTGTTTGATGATGTTTACCAATTACCACGTTCAAATCATGATTATCCACGTGAAACCATCAAATTATTCTAATACAATTTTAAAATCCTGTTAAAAAATATCAAATTCATCGCTCAATCCCCAATTTCCATACACAATTATCAAACGCTAAATTGTTCCAATAAATTACCTTACCGAGAGCTAATAACTTAATCCCCCAAATCCAAAACTCAGCATTTGGCTGCTAAAATTATCTCACTAAATAACCTCTTGAATTATAATATTTTAAAATATTAAAAAATCGTCAATTACGCAATAAATTGCAACCAACGACGAGTCAGAAATAAGAATTGAGATTTAACGTCGTCCACCATTGCCGAATTGCGATCAACAACGAAGTCAGAAACCCCTACAAAAGGAGCAGAAAGAAAAAGAAGGGAAATTGAGAAAACTGATAGGATTGGACATAATAAATGGAAAATTGCAAGAACGTAAATGCAGGGGAAGGAAAAGAAAATCAAAGGAAATTCACATCTTTATTCATAGTCTCCGTACATCATAAAAGGGCTTTAAATATACTAAAAAATAGCTAGGTTTTGAGGTATGGATGGGCTTAATAGTATTACCCAAGTAGTAGGCCTAATCGATGGTAATGGCAATAGGTGATCTAACTAGTCATAACCAAAATCCAATAGCTTTGCATTAATCCCACCCCCTTAAGATGAGGCTTGCCCTCAAGCCTCTCAAACTGAGAAAGATGCATGCAGCAGTTAGGGAAAGAGGCCAGCCAGGTTGTCCAATGGTGTACCATGCTCATATTCAGTATTAGCTTTTGTATGGTCTATAAATCACGAACCATGTCTTTCCAAAACTTCTTCAGTGTGTTCACCCAAAAAACAAAGATCATTAACTCATATCTTGACAAAATGAAATCATGCAGTTTTGCCAAATACTTTGAGATGGGATAAAAGAGTGGGCGCACACTAAGCTTGACAGCATTGAGCAAGACAACTCCTGGGGTAGATAGATTGCATTAAAGATGGCAAGAGATGGTGTAAGCTGTAACAATATCACCCATTTCATAGCAAGTAGCATTCCTGGTGAACGGGCAAGTAAGACACGAGTTTCTTCATCTTCGAAAGCCTTCGCATCATGCTCAGTAAGTAGGTTGGAGGCCCAAAAATAGAATGGAAAATAACTCTTCACAAAGCCATTGAATCAACTCTTCCCAGAAATTTTGCCGTTGGAATTTCTGAAGTATGTGGAATTAGTTTAGAATTCAAGGACTGCCCTTGCCACCAAGTCTTGAGAAGAGTGATGCAACCAATCAGATATTGCAGATCAACAATATGCCGATATGATCCCACCATTAATCAATACAGTGATATAGTGAGAGAGGCCGTAGTTCCATGTATCAGTGCTTGTGATATTGCCTTGGTCTCCTTTAGCAAATTTGAATGATAACGCTGACCGTTGTTATCAGAGAACGTGGAGATGTGAACAATAGCGTGCCACATCAAGTTGGGTTGGTTGGTCTTGCAGTAATTCTCAAATAAATCATGAGGAACTGTAGAAGGCACCACTAGGATATATTTGAAATTCACGGCATCCTTATCACCAAGGTGGATCCATTCTAGGAAATGCACATCACTATAATCCCTCTTCCTCGATAGAATTGGAATTTCACTGCTTTGGCATATGCAAACAATAGAACAAAGGGAACTTTGTCGAAAAGCTCCCGGTACTGTTCACTTTAACGAAAAACCACGTTTTTACACTAAAAAGTCAATCCTGATACTATTCACTTTACCCTTTATTTTGTCTTTATCATTAAAACTCAAAGTTTTCAAGCCCTTTTCATTAGTTTTCCTTAGAACACAAATCATGCTCATATTATTAGAGGTGACTCTCCATGTACCATGATTTTGAACAAAATCAACTGCAACAAAACTTCCTTTTGAAACTGTACTCCATACGAAAACTAGTAGTGTCCAAATCCATGTGGCAATGAACAAAACCTTTCTTGAACAAGCTGACACTGAATTAAGTATCAGAAAAGCAAGAATATCATCCGTAAAAAACCGTATTGCAGACTCGCTATGCTGGATTGCTGAGGTGAAGAAATGAAAAAGATAATTTTTCATCCCCTCTGTCTTTGTTGATCCCTGATATACAATTGCACTACCGGTCACAAACTCAGCATGTATTTTAGAGCTAGAGAGTTCAAAATCAATGGCGAGCTTTGGCAATTTGTCCTCTGTTATTTTATGTGCATGGTGAAGCAAACTTTGGAGACTAGAGGAGGCACCAAAACATGAGCTCTGACCTACAACATTTGTTTGCCTATCAACTTCGCAGTCCTTACCGTAAGGTCAAAATAATTTCTTATGCAGAATTTCATCACCCAATCCCAACTAGCAGTTGACAATGTTCTTTTGATATGAGGTAAGGTCAAAATCCTGCATGCATTTAGTGGGAATACCGTACCTGTGACTGTAGTATTCCCAAGGGTAGCCTCAGATCTTTCCTGCCAATTCTCATCCAAGAGCTTAATTCCAATTAGTGCTTTAAGCAACTTGGCATGGTCAAGATGTGAGTTAACCATAAAAAAGTTATTTGCATCATTTATTACAGCAAGTGATCTCATGCCACACCATAAAATCTTACTCATGAAGTCCATGCTAAAACCGAGCAAAGAAGTAGGAAGTAAAGGCATGACCTCTTCATTGTGAGATAGAATAAAAGAGATGTGCCGGTCATCATGAATAATTTTTTTGCACAGTAGTGTCACCATAATTTCAAAAGCAACCCTCCATTTACCACTCTCTTGAGAAATATCGAAGAATGCACAAGATATTCTCAAAACTCTTGTTGATATCAATAAGGAGACTAATACAATAAGTGTCAAACCACACTTTGCATACAGATTACCCCCAATAATAAAACCATGATTTAGCTCATGCTGACAAGCATGCCACACCGGATCCTGAGTAAATTTATGCATTACAATCTTGAAAAGAGAACTGCTTGATGAAAGAGTTATATCATAATAATGCCCCAATTTTTTTTGCAGCTGCAACAACCATGGACTTGTATCTGGAAATGTGGCTGACCAACCTTGTATCCCTTCCAGTCACGAACACTAGTCTTAGACCGATTGCTGACCATAGATTATCAGAAATGTTACGTTTCTTGAGCCTTACGTTCTCACCATTCTGCCTTGTCAACCTCTCGATGGTTTGGTCCTTGAGCTAGATGGCCTCAGTCAAAAGTTTTTTATCCTTTCTAGCATCATCCACAAGCTACTTATTCTTTTTCAATTTCGCCTTATATCGCTCTGCCTCTCGTAATCTATCATCGTACTCAGTCATGACCTACATGACAAAATGATCATCACTACCAAAAAATTTAAAAAAAAAAGGAGAAAACAAGGAAATGACAAAGTAACACTCACATAAGAAGATAGCTTCAACATTTGGTCGCAATCTGATTCAGTCTTAGCTAGTGGCTCTCCGAGCTCATAAAAAATGAATCGACGCCCTGCCAGGCAATTGTTAACATACCCAAAGCTCTTTGGCTACATGGCAACCTTCAAGTCCTTCTAAGGGACACTGCCAGCCTCTTCCTTATCCTTACTCTTGCGGCTGGAATTAGGATCGCCTTCCTGGCCAATGTGCGCCATAACTGGAGGAAAGATAGGATCAATAGTAGGAAGAGAAGGCAACAATCGCCTCTCCTCCCCTGTGACTATGGCAGCAGCACATCCGATAGCCCCAGCTTCAGCTTTCTTCGAGGCAGCTTTCCTCGGTGCTTGCGAGCTTCCTTGTGAGACAGGATGTCTTCTGAGGGAACTAACATAGGTGTTTTCCTTTTCTTAGTGCTAGTCTCCCCTTTCTTGCTCACCTTCTCCACTAAACAAGGAGGATCAAAGTAAGGAATACAACTTTATATAAAATAAAAAAGAAGGGAAGAGCAGAGATCAAGTGAAAGCTACAACTTACTCACTCATCTCTGGCACTCAGGAACTAGGGGCTGGAAACCGTACTTTCGAAATAAGGGTCGTAGCTTGCCCAAGTGTCTATCCTCTTGGGGCACCCTCAACACCTTCTCTATGTCAGCTAGCTCCCGTCCGGACAGCTTGATGGTCCCTCGCGTCACTGCACGAAGAAGAATGTTAGAAGCAAGAGAAAATCACAACAAATAACAAATAATGCAAACTATGGATACATTACAACCTACAGTCT